TGAGTTTTTGAAAGCAGTACCTGTCACCTTTTTTCAAGTGTATAAACAGTAAATGCTTTAGTCCCTTATTCATTTAGATCTTAAGAAAGTACCAATTCATAAACATACTCATTGTTATTACACTACTTCCAGCCCTGCTTAGAGAAAAGAACGAATGACTGCTGTGGAGAAATATATTGGAGGTTTAGTACCAGTGAGACGGGGAACAGAACATGAAGACATGATCGATACAAGTGGTTTTAGACTTGTAAAGACAATAGTTCTAAGAAATAGAGATCTTTTACCAATTCTAAAGTAATTAAAGTTTTCCTACGTTTGTCCTCATCTTAATGAAAGTGTTTGCTTTAATTGCTTCCCCTTATGAAAATTTACTTAGGTGCTTATTTGGTTGAAGCACATTTTTTCCTGGCTGCAATCTTTTTCCATTTTTCTGATCAAAGAAGTAACTGATAGATAATAACTATAGCTGTGAATGATTGTAATCTTTAATCTCTTGGTACACTGCTTATCAGAGCGAAAACAAAGATAAACTTGGCTATTCTTGCTCATGTAATTTATATGTATTCAAGCTCTCCACTATAAGCTGTTGTATTCTGGGCAATAATGTATAGGAAGATCTCTGAAAAAATAAGAATACAGATTAAAGTACAGTATAATTCTTATGAAATAAGCAAAATGAATTATCATACTAAGTAATTTCTTTTAACAGATGCTTACATTGTCCTTTCTAACAACGGAGTCTCAGAATAAAAATATACTGTCAGAAAACTTTAAGCATGGGCACTTGGCTGCTCTGTTGAAAGACTGCTCCTCATATGAAGAAGAAAGATTTGTATATTTTATACTTTTGCACAATGGGAAAAATCACTGAAGAATGTAGAAGTTCTGCTGTTGGAGGAAGATGCAGGTTTTTGCAACTTGATAGAAGAACAATAGAAGAGAATATTTGTCTTAGTATGGGATGCTTCTTTTTAGCTGCCATATGTTTCTTCTCAGCAACTTTCCATCAAATGATGGAGTTTTTTGAGATTACTCCTTACTTCATGGGGAAAATGAAAGATGTATTGTGGGTGTCACTAGTTTCTCTGCATTTTAAAATGAACTTTATTATTTTTAAAATATATTTCTATACTCATACTAGATGTAAAAACAGCTGTGTGTCTCGAGCTATATGAATTTCTTTAGAGGCACTTTCTTTTAGGTGGTGTACCTAAAAGAAAATGAAATGTAGATAGTTTTGTCATCAGTAATAAATGCTGAGAAAGAGAGGAAAAACCTTCCTCAAGATGTCATGTGACATTAAGATCTGTATACATATACATATGCCCATAAAATTACTGTTTTTCTGACTATTGTTTTTAAAGTTAACGGCAAACAAGGAGATAGTTAATTTTTACACATTTACTATAACAAATTACTATTACTGCAATATGCAAAATGTAACATGCAATTTATGAGTAGTGTACAAAATAAATACGGATTCTAAGATTCTACAGTCAATAGGATAATTTACCTTTCAATTTAACATTTAACTGCTATGTTCCAGTGTTTTTGAGGAGGATTTGATGTTTCTATACAGCATGAGAAATGTAACTATCCAGTAAGATTATTATTATATGCATAAACTATTTCAGAGATATAGGTGCAAATATATATCTAAATATTTGACTGGCTTGCTGTGAGTATTTCTTACATGAGACTGTAGACTAGGAAAGCCAATGTCATGCAAGTATGTGATATGAAGTAATAAAGAATAAGTAATAAAGAATAAGAGTATAAATCACATATATCAGTATATATCAGAACTTTAGTTGACTTTTTGAAATTGATCTGCTGTCAGTGCAGCCATTGAACTATTTTTGCTAATTTATTTAAGTTATATTTGATGCATAAATGCCAGCTTTGCTGGATATAATTTCTAAACTACTTATGAACACTGATCTATGTGAAGTGTGGTAGAGTAGTCCTGCCCACAGGAGATATTATAGTAGTTGAAGTATGTCAAGTCATTTCAGTAAGCTTTGTGTCTTTAGCACCAGGAAAATGTACGTGTGCTTGTATGTGCTTAGTATTTTACTATCTGATGAGAAAGAAGAACCTGATGAAGATCTGCTGCCAAACCCCATTAGCCAGGGAGAATACTGTTTCATGTCTATGTCCTTCCTAGACTAAACTATCAGATTAAAGAGAACAAAGATGTTTTATGATTTCAGCAAATTCTGAACTTGGATTCAGAATTCCTTGGATTGGAATGCACCCATCAGATCAGGCTGTCCAGGCCCCATTCCAACCTGGTTTTGAATACCTCCAGGGATGGGGCATCCACAGCTTCTCTGGGCAGCTGTGCCAGTGATTCACCGCCTCACAACTTACCTGTATTCTCATCAATATACCTTGATTAAGAAAGATCATAGTGACAGTAAAAATCTGTCCACCAATAAAAGGTATTTTGAGAAGACGTTTAACTGCTTTTCTTAATGAATTTGTTGGTCTTGCATGGGTAAAGAAATGCTTCTGTGATCATCAACAGTGAATCCATCATGTGATCCTTAGGGACTCAAGGAGAAGACAGTCTAGAAATACACTCTTCTTATTTTTTATATCGGCTAAAACAACAGCTGAAAGCAAAAGTGATAGCTGTTTTCCTCTGTCTCAAAGATTCCATTTTGAGTGATGGATATTCATTTGGTCCAGACATCTGAAGCAGGTAGAATTCATTGTATTTTAATTACAGATTTTGTTAGGCTGACTTAATTTAAGTTGAACAGACCAAATAGGAACAGACCAAAAAATAAAAAATAAAAAAATCTGCTCTGTTTGCTGCTTCTGCATACAAAACTCATACATACATACATAAATATATGTGGGTTGATATTACTGTTGGAAGCACTGTTTAGAAGTTATTTGAATTATACAGAGAATGAAAAAAATACAAAGGATAGAAATCTGGTCCTTGTTTTTAATTATTATTATTATTATTATTATTATTATTATTATTAGCTATTAATATTTTGATACATGGTGAATATTTCATGCTCACTCGTATTTCTGAATTACTATGTCTACCTGCTACTCAGAATAGCATTCCATGTGCTTTCTTGACTAAATAGACTGCGTGAACCTCTCACAGATTAAATTTAGAATTTTCTGTATGTGGTTTTACAAATCCTTCACAGTAACTTATTCTTCAGAATGTAAAATTAAGGCTCAGAGACAGCATCAAAAATTGCTTACTCAGTAGAGACCCTGAATTTACAAAAAACTAATGGGTACTAATCATCTTTACACTACTGTTTTCTATATACTGCTTGAAATAAAAATAACATCATTATTATTACAAAAAAATTTAAAATGTAAGAAAGGAAAATTAAGAAATTGTAGTCCAACATTTGTATTTTACTGAAATAGCCACTGTGAGTGTATATGCAGGTTTATAGTTGTCATAGATGTAGCAGAAATAACACGATAATCTACTGAAATACATGCAGTGTGTTACATCAATAGTGTGTGTGTTCCATCAAGTGTTTTAAAATGATGCCTCGTAAGGAAGCAGCACTGTGTGTACACTGTGTACACATGTACAGGTACATTTTGGGATGCGTGAGACCCTTCAGAGGTTAGCACTTCAGATGTAATATATGGAATTCCAAGAATTGGAATACCAGTGAGAAACTTTTATATTAATACTCAGCTTAAAAAGACCAAAGATTCATTTTTTCCATTTTCCTTTCCTTCTACCTACTTTCTGCAGGGCAGAAGTGATTCTTCGGAGTCCAGAATTTTACGCAATAGCAACTGAAGCCAAATAGAGCAGCTGGGGAATTTGTCAGTTCTTATGGCTGACTGAAAAGAGACACGGGACAAGGCATCCCTATTCTTTCAGCTGCTTCCAGCTACTTTACATTTAAATTCTTCTTACAAGATGGTAGCAATCATTAGACAGATAAAACACTATCTGGGAAGCTCAGTAAAAAAGTAGGTAGGATTAAAAACCTGTATCTAACAAAATACATATCTGGTTGGATCTGCCCAAATTTGAGGAACTACTTCTGACACTCTGGTCAATGTGTTGTGCTTTCTCTTCCACTGTGCCAGAGAAGGTTCATCTCTAGAAATTAAATAATGCGTACATAACATGCTCAGAAATTGATGGTCAGATAGTTCAGGTTTATATTTTCTGTGGAAAACAATTTTGCTTTGAAAATCACATTAACTTTACCAAAAAAACGACCTCAAAGTAAGAAATCTCCATCTCATTCTAGTGTATTCAGCTAAATGGTAATGTGTCTGCATAAAATTATTTGAAAACAAAACTGTTCCAATGTTTTCCTGTTTTGTTTTTTGTTTTGTTTTGTTTTTGTTTTTATGTATGTATACAAGATACTGCCTTTTTAAATAAAGTTGCACAGTGAAGCAAGAGGGAGAAAAAGATCAAGCTGGATATCTTCAGTTCTGTAGATCTTGAATGGAAAGTGTCTGTTGTTTCATAATCAGCTTCTTTTAGATTTAGCACGTTTTATTCCCAGTGATTAATCCCCTACAGAATTATATTCAGGAAATGTTCAAACAATTTATTTCTACTGGGGAGGTTTAATTTTTGAAGTTTGAATGCTGTTTATTATTGAGGAAATGGTAGCATTCTTTCTCCAATGCACTCTTATTTGACTGTATTTTGTTTTAGCTAGAGGCACCTTATTTAGTAATTAAATTAAGCTTCAGTCTACTAGCTGACACAGACACAATAGGACACAAATGTACTTAGTTCTCCCTAGGTATATTTGCAAAGCTATATGCATACAATTTCTACCCACTGAAAAAGGATAAATTAATCTCTGTGCCACTGAATTGGTAAATGTAGGAGACTGCTGAAAGCAAATCGTTCAAATACATAAAACTATTTTGGTGTGGTCAATTGTGGTCAGTTATGTAGCTCACAAAACAACATTTTTTTTTCTTCTTTTTTTTTTCTTTTTTTTCTTTTTCTTTTGTGTGTATTGCAGGTAGCATAGTGTACCTTGGGATGATGGTGGGGGCATTCTTCTGGGGAGGCTTGGCAGACAAGGTGGGAAGGAGACAGTCACTCCTGATATGCATGTCTATCAATGGATTCTTTGCCTTCCTTTCATCATTTGTCCAGGGGTATGGCTTCTTCCTCTTCTGTCGTTTGTTTTCTGGATTTGGGTAAGCTCCTCTGTTTTTTTTTCACTTCTACAATTGTTTGTGTTAACAAAACTTTCCTGTTTACAAAAACTTCATTATTTAATGCAGGAACACAGTCTGTGTCAGGAGCAAGAGAATTAATCAGTGTGGCTATTACAATTCTAAATAAACCTGAAGGGATAGGATAATGATTTCAGAGGAAAGACATAATGTGAAAAAAGTAAAATTTTCTGTTCTTATTTTGCAACAGACTATTTTGTGAACTTGATGAACTTGCTTAAATGCTTTGTGTACCGAATTCTCTATGTACTGCCTGTTCAGTATGCTATATAATGCACTTCTCACAAATGTACTTCAGATTTCAGTAGTATCTGCAATGCATCTAAAGTCCTTGTGTGCATAATGTTTTTTATAACACCATTGCAGTCTGTCAAATTAATATGGAGATCCTGGAGCATGCTAAACTTTATTGTTCTTTCCAGAAGAAAAAAAAAAGTTTGTGGGTCTGCATTTCCTTTACTTTTAATTTAAATAATTTCTCAATTTTTGAAAATTCTTCAGACAGTGCTCACTGTCCATTAACTGTATAATTTTAAACTTACACAAGCTGAGATTGAGATCCCAAAGTATGTTAGTATAGGGTTTCCACCTTAATTGTACCTCCATTGCACTCTGAATAAAAAAATCCATTCTTTCAAAAATGTTAGAAAAGTAAAACAAAATCCCCTTCTGCTTTCCTACATTTTCCTTCTCATAGATCACTGAGAAAGATGAGAAAGATTCACGGCACTTCCCATTTTCTATTTTCTTTGAAGAAAATGTTTATATCCAAAAGAACCCTCTTCCTCTCCTTCAGTTCTATTTTATCCTAGATGTCAGCCACCATAAAAACCTTGAGATTTCTTGAATCTGTCCTTCACATCTTCAAGATGAAAGAGGTTCCTTTTTGTTCTATGAGAAAATAGTTTTTCCATCAGTTTCCATTTTTGGATCTCATCTTATTCAGAATGTTCATCTGCTCACTCTCTTTCAGAACGAAACTTACTTTTCACTTACCAGAGCTACTCAAGCTTGTATTTGCATCACATCTAGCTTTCATAGAATCATCATAATAAAATCTTGACAAAATAATAGAATGGCTTGGGTTGGAAGGGACCTCAAGGATTATCAAATTCCAATGCTTATGCCACAAACAGGGTTACTGGCAGCTAGATCAAATACTAGAACAAATTGCCCAGGGTCCCATCTCTCACCTTAAACATCTCCAAGGATGGAGCATCCAGAGTCTCTCTGGGCGCCTGTGCCAGTGCCTCACCACTCTCTCAGGGAAAAAACTTCCCCTTAACATCTAATCTAAATCTCCCTTCCTTTAGTTTAAAGTCATTCCCCCTTGTCCTACCACTATCTACCCTAATAAAAATTTGATTTCCCTCATGTTTATCAGTTCTCTTTAATATTGGAAGGCCACAATGAGGTCACCCTGCAGCCTTCTCACTTCCAGGCTGAACAGGCCTAGTTCCTTCAGACTGTCTTCTTAGGAGAGGTGCTCCAGTCCTTGGATCATCCTCAAGGCCCACATTGGGACCTTCTCCAACAGCTCCACTTCCCTCCTGTGCTGGGGGCTCTCGACTTGTATGCAGTACTCCAGATGGGGCCTCATAAGGACAGAGTAGAGGGGGAATCACCTTCCTCTCCCTGCTGGCCACTCCTCTTTGAATGCAGCTCAAGATAACATTGGCCTTCCAAACTACTAGCGCACACTGCTTCCTTTTGTTGAGTTGTTCATCTACCAGGACTCCTAAGTCCTTCTCAGCAGAGCTACTGTCAAGTTCTTCTCTCAGTTACTGTATGTATTTAGGATTACGCAAACCTAAGTACAAAACCTTGTACATTGCTTTCTTGAACCATGTTATCTTTCCCTCTATTTATCTTTTTTTTTTTTTTTTTAATTCACCTTTGGATATGATCTTACATTGAGAGGAGCTGTAATAGCAACAGACACATCACATGTCAAGCACCACAAGTTATGGGAGAAGCTGGAATGTTCCCGCTGCAGGGATAAAAAAGTAAAATCTTTCCACTATAGACAGAAGGGCATAAATACACTCACTGCTAGAGCACACATCTTGTAGTTCTTTGTTTCCAGATACTTGGCATCAATCACTGCATAAGAACACAAGATCTTTTCTGTATCACTCACTGAAGAACTTCCAGGTGTTTTTGCCAGCTTTTATGCCATATCTTCTTGTAGCACAGTATGAATTTACTTATAGTGTCTGAATGAAACCTTGAGAGTTTATTACATTCTTCACTACAATCCACATCTTGCTTGCATGGGAAGAAAGCTTCTCAGTTGAACAGGAATATGAATTCAACTTTAATTCTCTTAGTAACCTCTTCTCATTTCCAGAGGTCCTGCCTTTGGAACGTAGATGTCAATTCCCCTTTCCTAATGAAGGACATTAAATATATATCACTATTCTCAACAGAAAGGGCTTTGTTCCAGCCATGTATTAAATAACCCAAATATGAAATATGGATAACTTATGTTTTAGAAGCAAAAGAATATTGCTTCACAGACTGGGCAAAAAGCTTTATGAAGGGTCAGAGAGTTACCTGGGAAATTTCTGATAATTTAAAGTCAATGAAATATTAAGAAGTATTGATGAGTTATAAAATTTATTAGGTACATCAAGTTTAAACTGTTATCTCATCTTCTAGAAAATATAAAAAATACATGAGGAATTATGATCAATAATAACAGTATCTGACAGAAGATTTTATTTATGGAAAACACTGAGAAACTGACTTTTCTCAGATTCTCTTGCAGTTGATACATTTATAAAAGTGAACTGTTGAGGGGAAAAAAACAAAACAATACCTTTCTGACCATGATTTTGCATCTTGAAGATCTTGCATTGCCAAAAACTGAATGGCGTGGAATAAAAACAGTATAAATTATACTGAGTACTGCTGGGTAAAAAGCAATGAAGGATATGAAAGTCTGAAAAGTGAACTCAAGCTAATGAAAAGAATGAAGTGCTGAATAGCCTACAAAATCATTTCCTTTTACAAAAAATAAATTATATATATATACATATATATATAAAATAACTGTGATCCCTCCATTGATTAATCCAAAATCCATACTCAAAAGGAAATTGAATCCCAAAGACAGATAAAGCTCTAGGAGTCCTTTAGACATGATTTCCTACTAAAAAGGTTTATCCAGTAGTAGAACATGACTTATAATATCGCTGCTAACTTGAATGGAGGAGGATTTCTTGCCTATTCAACTCTGCCACTAGGAAACATTAATCTCAGTCGGAGAATTTTATCTAACCTCTGTTATAGAAAGTTGGATTTTTTTCATTTAGTTTCTAGCTTAGTGCTTTTGATACTTTTGGATAATTTTAGACGCAGTTTTTCTAATTCCAACACCTCAGTTCAAAATAAAGTTCTTAAAAATGCTCTATTTTTTTAAACTGGCCCATGCTAGGGTTGCCTTGAAGTAAACAAAGGTGATAGAATTTGGGAAAATGTATCATGCTTATCCACACAAATATTGCTTCTAAAAGTAATCAAAGTTTTCATGGAGTATAAAGGTAACTGAAATAAATATGTATTCTGAGACTGACTACAGTTTAGAAATTATTCAGACAACCCTAAATTGATTCTGTTTCATAAAGGAAATATGAGAATTTAAACAAATGTGTCTTAATTTACAGACTAAACATTATGTCCAGACTACAGAGATTTCTTTTAAATTGTCAAAACCACAAGTTTCACTGAATCTCTCCTGAAGATCCACAGAAATATTAGGAAACATGGCTTAGATATGGTCAACTTATGCAACTAAAAATCCATCCCTGCCTGAGTATAAGAGTTTTTCTCACTCTGAACTATTACGTAGTATTTATTTTCCAAAAAATGTTAGACACCCTTTCAGACTTCTTTTTTAGCTACTCCTCAGAAAACATCTCTGCAAAGCTACCTGCAGTACTCTTTCCACATTATCAGCATCTAGCACAAAGTACTGGTGTCACGGTAATAATATTAAACTCACTGTTTAGAACAGATCGTAATCAAATCCTTCACACCTTTGTGGGGGACAATGGTTACAAAAAATACAGAACTGTGGGATGAGGCTTATTTTAAATAACATGTTGGAGATGACTGGCCATGTAAATCCAGCCAAATGGCTATTTACCACTATTTTTGTTCATTACATACAGAGGCAAGAAATTCTTATACTTTTCTATATTTCCATATTCTGAATGATGAGGACAGGAAGGACAGGTCTATACACACAAGATCTTCAAAGAATTTCTAGTAGATTCACGGGCCATGTGAACACCACGCAGTTGCACAGCACAACTACACAAGCTGTTGCCTTCAAGAACCTCAGATCTCAACGAACAGGCTCCTTCTGTGTGTCATCAGTGTTCATTATTATGTTGTAGCTATCTTTTGTATCTTCATGCTCATTTGCTCTATTTCTTTCTCACGTCTTCTACCCTGTTACAATCCTTCTGCCTCTAATTTCTCTATAATCTCCAGCTGCCTCCCACCCGTGGCTATCAGAAGGTGTACTCTGAAAGCTAATGAACAGTTCCGCAGTTTACTGGCTTCAGAGTTGATAGTGTATGCCAAAAGAGCTGATATGTTTCTCAGACAAGCCAAGAAAGAAGTTGGCCAGGTCTGAGCTTTTCAAATAGATTTGGTTCCAAGCCTTTCTTCTTCAGACGTGGGTAAAGGTTGAATAATATAAACCTGACCAAGCATGTAGAAAAGTGGCTTGTTGTGTGAGGAGAAGATTGTGATGGGAAAGGAAATTTATACAAAAGGAAGAGAAATGCTGGAAAATTGACACACATAAGCAAGGTAGAGAGCCTATACAACATATAATCCTAAAGAGAAAGCAGAAATTTGAAAGGAGGAATGAAAAAGAGAGAGAATCAGGTTTGTGAAAGATCAAGACTTCATAAACTCATAGAAAATCCCAGGTTGGAAGAGTCTTTGAAAAGAAGGGTCTTTGAATGATCATTACATCCAACCTTCCACTGGGAAAGAGAGACTAGATGATATGACTATGACTGGACAAGTACCCTGTCCAACCACATTTTGAAAGTCTCCGTTGAAAGGAATTCTATCACACCAGTAGGGAAATCGTGCCATTTGTTTCATTGTAAAAAATGTCTTTTTTACATAATGGTAAAACCTTTCCCAGGTTTTCCAGCTTGTACTCATCGCCCCTTGTGTTCTCCAAGTGAAGGGAGTGACTCCTTTCTTTTATTACCCACTGTTCAATTGTGGAAATACTGTGATAAGGTCATGCCTGGACCTGTTCTTCTCCAGAGTGAAATAACTGCTTCATCCTTTCTTCATAGAGCTGATTCTCCAGGTCTTTGGTCATCTTTATAGCTCTCCTGTTGCCACTCTCCAGACAGTCTATGTCTGGGGACCAGAACTTCAGTTGTGGCCTGTGGTATGATCACATCTCTATCTCTGCTAGTAATGCCTCTGTGGATGTGGAAATGATTTTGTGCTTATCAATGCTGGCAGCTTATCTGACATATCTAGCTGATCAGGTACTGCAAGAAAACTCTTTCTAATTATATGGTTGTATTTGACATCAAATTTCTCTTAACTCTTTTTACTGTTGTTGAAAAAATCGAGTAATTAATTATTTACTTATCAGTTTCCATCAGAACTGACAGTATTTAAGAGATCTGTAAATAATCACGTGAAACTATCTCAGAGACTCTTGCTATTATTACAGTATGGATCATATGTGTACCTGGAAGACATCTCTAGTATACGTAGTATACTCTGTGAAATGATCAACAGTCTGTGATCTACATCACACTGCTTTTTTATAGGGCATTATCCATCAGTTCACAAGGTGAATGAGTTGATCTGGATGCTTGTTCTCACATATTTTACTGATCTAACGGATGTTCTAGGAGGAAAACAAAAAGATGTTTTTAATTGAATTTGTGCAAGTGGGAGTATAAAAATCTATTAAGTGCGAGTGGAGAAATGAAGGTGATAGGCTGCTTCCAAGTATTGGAAGCAGAATAGCAAGTGTGTTTTGATCTCGTGGACTTAGTATGTCATCAGTAATAAGGTGAAAACTTGCAAAATACCAACATACACAGAAACAGTCTTTGAGCCTGAATCTTCTCCAGATTTGGAAGTGAAGAAGCCAAGATATTTCAGGAGAAGAACACCATCCTGCTTGTGCATTTAGTATTTTGTAAGGGTTTTGTTGTTGTTGTTTTCCTAATTATCTCTATTCCTATGTGCCTATATTGCCTCTATTCAAAGAGGCATTTCAAGCCTCTTTGGCTAATGAATCTGCAAATAAAAAAAGGCTCCCTGAAGCCAGAGGCTCCTGAATGCCTTGCCTAAATGTTGTTTTCATTTATTCTAGCTCTCACACTGAGCAGTTTCCAAAATCTGTTGTGACAAATCACAGCTATGAAGATAGGTTAGCAGACATTTATCACCTTTGCTTGTGACAACAAAAAATGCAAATGTACCTTAGTTTATTATTTATTTCACTAAATTCTGCTCTCCTGTGGTATGTCATTTAAATCCCATTTTGATTGCCTCCTCCTCATGATTTCACAGAAAACCACAAACAGAAAGCATTCAGAAATAACACTATAAAGGCATGGCTTTCAATTTGGATGGTTTTTTCTGATATCAGGAATTGAATTAGTTTCTTATTCATATATTGTCACTTTCCCCTGGATAACTGTTCTTTGAAATGAAAAAACAACTAACTAAGTAAAACATACAAACAAACAAACAAAAAAAGAAAGAACCCCACCCTGGTCAAAATGGATCCTCCTTGGATGCTGAGGAAGGAATACTGTGGGAATGCAATTCAGTGCTACGACTGAGCCCTGAACAGTAAGAGGTTATTAATGTAATCCACTTAAGCCTTGGGAAAAGGAGAGCCCACATGCCCTAGAATAACACTGAGGGCAGGGAGTACCCAGTTACAGCAAAATGAGCCACAGTCCTTTTCTTCACCATGTTGCTTCTACCATTCCTCTTCCCAAGCTTCCAGGATATCCTCCTAGGGCACTCTTCCTTACAAGGGAGGACAATACCCTGCCAAAACAATTTAAGTGTTCTAACCATGAAAATAATATGAGATACTGCATACCTCTTTGTAGAACTTGCAGAATGTTAGACTAACAGGCCCAGCAATGGTACATTAATTGTAAAGGTAAGAGTTGATTGGCAGTACTTTGTCAAAAGCTACCCAGAAAGAAGTGATAGAATAGCATGTAACTGCTCAATGCAGTATTTCATTGCTATACCAGAAGGTATCTTAAAGTAGACAGCATTGACATGAAACTGATTTTTATTAGGACTGAAATTCCATTTCTGTATTCATATGTTCCTTTCTAATATTTGTTTTAATCTGTTATAAGATCCTTGGTTTTACTCCCAGTTTACCTATCATCAAAATGACAGCATAAATACACATTTATCTTTAAAAGTTGAGATCAAAAATTGAACAATGCAAGACTTTGCTTCTTCTAAGGATGTGAACTGTTATGTAAGTGTATCTCTTCCAACTTCATAGATATTTACTTCAGCAGGAAATTATAGCTTACACAAGCTTGTGCTGTGTAATGAAGAGGTAAAAACAGTAAAAGGTTACCTGGAACTTGGTACATATTTAAATTACACAAGTTTTGCAAAACCACATTGAGATCCCTTTTTTCCCAGCTGACCTTTAGATGCTGTTTATTTTTACTGTATTAAAAACTGTGAATATGATATGAATGCATTGACTTTTCCATTACAGAAATTATGTAGACAGCAAGCACAGGCTTAGCAAATTACATCTTTTTAAATAGGAATGGAATAAAATGTACTAGTAATATAGTTCTCATTTAGTCACTTCCTGGTTGCCTAAATCAGAAGACTGAAGACCTAGAGAAATACCTATGATCCTCTGGGAAAATTACTAACAATTTCAGTAAAACGGAGCATGTTTTGACGCTCAAAAATAGATGGCCACAATTGCAGCATTTGTGTGAAAGTTAGCACTTTGTGCTGGTTTCTGTTCCAAAGGCCAGCACATTGGCAATCCATTTGAATCACTGAACATACTGAAGTGTATATGCAGTTTTCAAGGAAATCTTTGACAAAAGTTGCACCCAAGGTGGTGAAAGCATATTGTTCTCCAGTACATGGTGCAATTAAAAAAAAAAATACAACCTTGCTAGAAATCTGCTTGTAGTTTAGGTTCTAAATGACACTAACCGTGGCCTAGCTCTCACTATAACTGGCTGTTACTTTCTCCCTAAACACATGGTATGTATCTCCTTCTAGGATTGGTGGAGCTGTGCCAACAGTCTTCTCCTATTTTTCGGAAGTGCTTGCTCGGGAGAAACGAGGAGAACACCTGAGTTGGCTCTGTATGTTTTGGATGATTGGCGGTATCTATGCTTCTGCAATGGCTTGGGCAATCATTCCTCATTATGGTAAGGCAAACATCTCCTTGTAAGTTCTCTCTCTCCTAATTAAATAGTAAAGCTTTTAAAGTATAACTTAAACATGTCAGTTCTCAAAATAATTATTCTGCCGTTTAAAAAAAAAAAATCTTTATTTTGGGGGAAGTGAGGAGAATAGATCATACGCTAAATAACAATACCTTACAGAGTAAAAATTAGCAAATATCCATGCTTAGTCAGATTCTTTAGATTTCTGGAAATTTGGACAAATAGAAAGGTAGTCAGTCTTACCATTGAAACTGGAGAAAACAGCTGATATGGAGACTTGCTTCAGAGAAAATATCTTTTGAAATGTTGGGTGTCAAATTTCTGTTAGATTTTGTACATTGTTTGTTTGGAACACATAGAATCTCAATTACTCTCCCTTAAGAAAGAAGAATTAAGAATGTCTTAATGTTTGTGGCAGTAGTTGTGAATGTAAAGCTGTGCTGAATGTTTTTAGTACAGCTATACAGTGATGTACAAATAAGAGAAATCAAATAGAGTGCACTTACATATGGTCGGGGTAAGTGAGGGGAAATATGACAGAAGTCTTCCTGTAGCTGAAATTATATGAACATGCAGTGTAAACTACTTTGTGAAAGGCCTCTTTACTACTGTGACATAATTAAACATTAAGTGGAGGTAGAGGATCTACTCAGTCTCCTGCTTCTGCATTTTAGAGGCACTAAATTCCTATAGGTCTTAAGGGCTTTTGGGAATTCTCAGTGGTTTTTAAAAATTAGGCTCTGTAAGCACTTCTTGCTGGCATTCTTCAAGACAAGTAGAGCAACTCTGTGAGCTAGGTAGCATGCAGAGCAGTTTTCTTAAGCCAGGAAATGACATTTATCAAAATTTATTGTGCAGGGGAGGAAAAAATTTAGGAGATTTGCCCAGAGTGATTGGAACATTTACCAGACACTAGGGCCCAGAAATAAATTATAACCATGCAGACCAATCAAATACGTAGACTCTTGCACTAAAATTAATTTTAGACTGTACATGCAGCCAGAATCTCTCTCTTTAACCTTGGCTTTTGGCTTTGGATTGCTGAAATCAGAGAAGAATCTTTGCTGGCAAGACACAGTGCTTATATATAAAGTTTTCTGGTGTTTTTTTTTTTTTTTTTTTTTTTTTCAATTAGTAAATTGCTCTCAGTACTTTTTTTTTTTTTTTTAAAATGTGTTTTTATTTCCCTTACCTTTCAGAGAAAAATACAAACACTGGTTTAAATAGACTGCCTGATTTCACTGTAGATTTCATGACTTGATAACCTTCACTGAAATGCTTTTAAAAATGTTACAGAGCAGTGTATCTCAATGAATAATAATGCACATCCCTATATTACAGTAGTGACAGGAAAAGGAGGGAATTATTTTTTTCTTTCTATAGCAGTAGAAAAACACCAATAACAAAAAGCCATGCAGCTTTTTTTCAGTTTTGTGTATGGTAGACTTCTGCAAAAGTACATAGGAAAATCACTAAAGACAGAAGAATGCAAAAACCATTTTTAAAAGACAGTGTTCTTCAGCTATAGCCATGCAAATTACTCTCTTTGCAGTATAGTAAGCAAAGTCATAAGAGCCAAAGAGAGGGCTAATAAGGAAGCTGCAGGCAGCAGGTGCAATTCTTTCTCATAGCAAAACAAGTAGGTTTATACACCTTTTGGGGAATTTAAGCAAAGTATGCTTGTGAGTTTGGATGATGTCTTTCAATTGTCTTTATTGTAAATTAGACTATCTAGTCAAGTTCAAAGCCTTTGTTTTACTTCCTGAAACAAGCGTGGAGCTATTCTGCTGAGTATCAGATTGAAGATGCTTCATTGTGATCAAGATGTGCTGAGCTCATAGGCACTGCAGAGTACACCCAGGTCAAATATTGCTCTGACACTGGGGGGGGGAGTGTTCACACAGTGCTGTATCCTACAAACAGTCCTGGTCAGGTTAATGCTGTCTCCAACCTCCACATCATTTGTATCACTTGAATGCATGAGGACTCCTGTAGGGCAACTTTCTTTTAGGATTTCTGTGTGGTCTCCATTGAATTGTTTTGATAGAATTAGGCAAAGATGGATCTTCTTCTTCAAATTGACTTCAGTCCTTCTCATTAATCACATCTCCACTGACCAGTAAGCAAAACGTAATTATAAGCAAAGCATTCAACCACTTCTAAGGCCTATTTGTATAGCGTATAGAAATTTCTGAGCTCTCTGATTCTCATCTGCGAGATAAATACTGTTCATTTTTCCTATCTGAACACTGAAATTGCTCAAAGGCAGGGCATGAAGTTGCAACTATTGAAAAGCAACAAACTGCCATTGAACATAGTAAAATTATTCTAAAATGGACAGAAAAATAGCAAACCAGCAGCACTGAGTCATCTTCTGGGTATATTTTTTTTTTCTCAGTCTTACATAAGACACTTTAAAAGGTCCTGGATTCACAGCTGATATATATTATCTACCTCCAAAACAATAATGAACCTATACCACTTCAGCTGTTCAAGATTTAGCTCTATCTTTTCCTGATAAAATGAAAATAAGTAACCATTTATTTGTTTTTGTTCAAGCAGCACAGGCATGTCTGAAACAAGGGGACATTTTAAAACTGAGACATTCTAAAATATAGGGAAGCTAATAATTGCCTTGGCATCAGTGTGTTGTTAAGAGAGGAATCAGGGTGACATAGTGCTGCAGTGACCGCATGCTGAAAGATTTCATCTGGAAGGCAAGCAAGTTCCAGAGATTCTTTAAGTCTAGATGTTGGCTTCGGTTTTAAATTTGAAAATGGATGCAGATTTGTTCAGAGTTCCTTACAGAGGAGTTGAGGTCATGGAGAATCTATTAGAAGAAACATCTGCAGACAAATGCTTCTAATTGCAGTCAATTAACAAAGTCCCAGACCAGGCTGCTGTGAATAAATGACTTCATGCAACACTTCAGTCAGGCTCGATAGGAAGGATAATTACCATTTTATAAACCATTTTGCAAGTGCAACTTTAAATTTAGCATAATATTTCAAGGTGGATTACTTCAAAGACTGTCAAATGCATCAAATGTGTATCACAGTATTCTTTAAAAAATTCATTTTTCAAACAGTGAAAAATCTTAACAGTAAGAAATTACATTTCAGTATAAAATCTTGATAGTGATATATTACCTTTTCATTACACTAGATTTATGTCTTTCTTCAAGGATAGGAATAAAAAGAACTTACCCTCACCCAACTTTTTTAGCCATTTTACCCCTTTATTTTGAAAAGATGCAAAGTTTTCGATTATACAAGATATTGCCTTCTATACACTGTGTTATTTTTATAAAGAGCCTAGAATCTTATGGTTCCAGATCTCAAAACTAAAAATGAAGGGCCGCTAGTTAAAGATTTCCATTTATTAATACTTTCTATTTTGGTAGTCTGTGTAATTTTTGGTTTTGCATGTATCAAGTATTCAATTGTTTTCAGACAGCAGAAATATTCCCTAGAATCTTTTTGCTTAACAACAAACAGATATTAACCTCACTGATTTACCAATCCTATTGATCTTATAAAAAGTTGAATATGAGATGTAAAAGAAGTTAGACTGCTAAGGAGGAGAAGTGAAGATGACAGGGAGTCTGATCAGGATGGTGCAGATATCGAGTCTTCTGCATGTAAACTGCAGTTGAACCTCAAGCTCTAGAGTAAAGAACTGTGTACAGCAACTGAAAGGCAGAGTCGTGGATAAAATGATTTTGCACATTCCTTTTTTATACCACTTTCAAAGTAACGACAATCTTATTTGCCTTTTTAAAGATCAATAAAGCTAATCAAAAGTTTGTTATGTTTTTAGTCACATTTCTAAGTTATGGGATGGGGTCTTTATCACTATTAATTATTATTAGTCACTTGGTTGTATTTTGCAACTTAATGAGAATTTCTGCAACCAGTTAGCTATGAACTAAACTTGCAAACATACTCATGTTAGAGCAATAGTGTTCACCACAATTTGTAACTTCATCTCCTTAGTGTAGACAACATAGTGTAGTGGGATTATGCTACAGACTAAGATTCTCAGTGCAAAAGTCAGATGTAAGTACTTAGACCAAGCATTTTATTTAAGCTGGTGCCTAAATTACGTCATAGATCATCAACTGAACTATTCATTTTTCATCAGCAGAGACTTTTTTTCCACTTACTGAGGACCAGCCACTTCTGTTTGTAAAAGACAGCATTCTATAGAACCACTCAAGGAACAATAATTTAGAAGAGAAATAAGTGAAATAAGTAATCTTATAAACAAGTATTTAATTTCAGAACATGAGATTTCTTGTCAAACTCTAACATTTCTTTCTACATATAAGCAGGAAAATATTAATATGTTCATTTTTCTAGAAAATGTTTTCATTGCATTTGTAAATAACTGGTAAGTTGTCTTGTGACTGAAATGGCTAGAAATCATATTCCTACATATTTCCTTCATCAGAAATCTTTTAAATTAAGAAAGCTATTTCTTAAAGTTTTGCAGAATGCCTAATAAATAAAAATTAATATATATTACAGATATACAATCAATGAAACTACAGTAAGTGTATATATAACTACTTACGGATTTTTTTAATTGCTTTTTTTACAGTTACATGGAGCTTAAAAATGCAGACATAGAAGTGTCTGAACTATAGACTCAAAACTAAGGTTTGCAGAACATTGTATTTAGGAGACAAAGCATGACTTCTATTTCAAAAAGGCTTTATAAACTCAAAGACAGGTGCAGTGCAGCATTAATATCTACTATCAAAGACTGTTAGAGGATCTCCACCACCAGGGGCTTGCATGGGCACGTAAGACCGCTGCCTAAAAAGGTTACATACACATTGAACTCTCCATCCCCATGGCTGTACTGATTCTGAGAAGTCTTTTCACGGGCACAGGGATTCCTAAATAGCCTTCATTTCTGTGTGCAATTGCGATGACAGTGCAGAAATCAGTTTTGTTTTGTGTAAATGGTTTGTTAGG